GTCTCTAAGTGTAGCCCTGTGATAGACTGGTTACCTGTCCAGGTGAACCTGCCTTCACCCTGAGTCAGCTGGGATAGGCTCCGCCCCCCATGACCCTGGTGAGGATGAAGGTGTAGAGATGATGGATGGATGTTTTTATGTTGAGCAGTTAACTTTTCATGCCTGAATTTATCCCACAGTGCTTCTGTTTCTGGTTCATTCCAGTGAATCCAGTTTCCTGTTGACAGCAGAAACCTGTAGAACTTTATTAACCTAAAACCTTCACATAACATCCGTCTGATTAAAACCGATCAGATCATAAGCTGCTCCTTCGTTCTGACATATTTGTACCTTTAATATTGTGTTTCATGTGATGACTGCAGGTCGCCTGCATCTCAGCTAAAACATGTACAAACAAACACTGCTCGCTGTTTTCCCTCCATGTCTGCTTGTTTCAGGTGAAAACAAGACGCGCAGCCGCCGAGACACGACTCGATATCGCCTCATTAAACTCATGCTGCTCATGTGGTTTTTCAGAGTTGGTGTCGGGATGAAGGGAGGCGTGGAGCTGCTGCTGCTGCTGCTGCTGTGGTCTGTGGAGAGCAGCAGTGAGTCCAGATGCTGCTATGACCAATATTTGACCACAACATGTTCATACATTCACGTATCTGTAGTAGGAGTGGTGCTGGTCTTAACCTGCAGATAGTTTATTGTACAGATCAGGGAGATGTTTCAGTGAAAAGTGACGATTTCAGAAGCAGCAGCTTTTTCCAGAAACACTCTCTTTGGTATATGATTTGGTTTCTAAAAGTCAGAGACAGCAGAGATGATGAACCCTCAACCTAAACATGAGATGTACTCTACTGACTATATGCTGCCAGGAAAACATGACACTTACTCTTTGTAGTTGTACTGAATGAAGTGAACTAATTAAGACTCACATCGGACATTGATTTTTGGGATACTAGAAGTCGGTTAGTGATGGTTAAAGGGCCAGTCTGGAGGATTTAGTGTCTACTAAGTCACTATTTGTCACCAAATGAGGCGACACGATGCATTTAAAGTACCGCCTGTAGAGACGGTCCTGCACAGAATCACAGTCCACACAGATTTAGTGATGAAGGTTCCACCGTTCAGCACCTTTTCTTTACCAAAGAAGCTCCATCTTCAGTTTACCTGCACGTGAAGCCGTGTGTTGTTCTTTTCTTGTCTCAGAAGACTTGAATTCCTGTTTGTCTTTCACTGCTTATTGCTGTGAAGGTGTTCCTCAGGTGACGTCTGCAAATAAGAGAAAGACATGAACATGTTTCTGATGGCCACTTTCACGTCGCTCTAAAGACTTGGTGCTGCTGAACGTGAACATGTCTTTGTCTTCCAACCGCTGCTTTTCTGCAGATCATCCTTTGGGTGTCACCGCTGCAGGTCTGGACGGAGCAGGAACGTGGTGCGACTGCTGCAGTAAAATATAAAAACATCTTAGACGTGAGAAAATATGCAGCTGCATGAGTTGCAATATTTCGAGTTGAACCTCAGAACTTCTGCTTGGGTTTGGAGATCAGATAACACACCAGAACTGTCTTAAACTCCTCACTGAACCATCATCTGCTGTATTCAAAGAACCTGAAACAGTTTAAACATTTCACACCATCTTCTCCTGTGTGCTGCTAAGTGATGATGGAGGCAGATGCTGCTGCTGAAAGTGTTCTCACATGATTTCATGTGAAGTGGAGCTGACGAGGGACACACACCTCACTATCAAATACCTGGTTTGATAAGTTTAAGCTGAGGTTTTGTAGCTGTGGTGCTGCTCTGGGAGTCACTGTTTGTTCCCCTCCTGTGTTGCCAGGTTTGTCTCCTCCAGGGAAACCGGTCCTGCTCGGCTGCAGGTCCCCGGAGAAGGAGACATTCACCTGCTGGTGGAAGCCGGGTTCGGATGGAGGGCTGCCGACGGAGCACCACCTCTACTACGAGAGAGAACGGTCAGCCAGCCGCCATGTCCTGCTCTTATTTAACAGTGATTCCAAGACGAGGCTGTCGTACAACCCACGGCCCTCAGGATTAGTTTAACCAGCACATGGTCCACGAAGCTTCAGGTCATTTTATCGTCCCGCTGAGAGCCGGCGAGAGTGAAGCTGTCGTGTCGTCCTCCAGACAGAGCAAGTGGAAAACTAGCAGGTCTCTTGTTCACAGCCTGGTGCTCGGTCAGCACAGAAACGTCCACAGCAGACCTGTGTGGCCCTGGCTTCTGCAGCCGGACGGCAAAGTGTCAGAAAGAGCAGCTGGACACTGTTGGAGGATGAGTTTCAGCCAAATAGTCCATCTGAGATGCAATTTATTTGGTCTTTAAGGCCCAGAAGCCTCCCGTCAGCTGTAGCTGCACACTGAGAGCATGAGCCTTGTTAGCACCATACTGTCTACACTGAGCATGTCAGTGAGCTGATGGTGGATCCAGCTGTGCATGTGTGGCTCTTGTTCTTATCTCTGTTTCAGAAAGGTTGAGAAAATCAAGCTGTGAGTTTCTGAGATGGTGACATGTGTGATCATGTTGCAGTGCAGACCAACATCTGACTGTATGTGATCATGAGTCTGGTCTTGCTCTTGTATAAATGTGTGTTTACTGCCCACAGCCCAGCTTCACTCTGTTGGATGTCTGTGGCTCCCTGAGCAGCGTTCGCCTCCATCCCGCTCAGCAAAGCTCTTGTTGTGTCAACCCACAGCTTGGAGGGAACCCACGAGTGTCCAGACTACCGCTCAGCAGGAAGCAACTCCTGCTTCTTCGACAGGAAACACACGTCCATCTGGGTGGACTACGTGCTGACGGTGGTGGCCTCCAGCGCCCTCGGAAACGTCTCGTCAGATCCGCTCAAGTTCGACGTGATGGAAATCGGTAAAGAACGAGACAGACGGATGCGACCAAACACAGTTCTGTATTTATTTAGCTGAAGACGAAGCACTTCAGGCCCAAATACTGTTTTTCTTCCGAGCGCTTCAGTTTTAACATTTTTGCTGCCGTAACACAGCCGATGTCAGACGCATTCAGGTGTTTATTTCACTTCACTTTATTCTGTTTGTAGAGTTTAGTTGCCGTACAGACGTACAGGCGCGCTGCGTTTTTCACCAGAACCTCATTTTTAGGCGTAAATACCGGCAGCGTTCTGGAAGTCCTGCCTCCCACCGCTGTGGTCCACGCAGCAGCTTCCTGCGCCGCTTACAGCCACACTAATG